CCCCGGGCGAGAAAAGCTGCTCTGCGTCTCCCTGGTCTGCAGATCAGGAAGACGCGGTCTGGGGGGGCCCCGCTGCCGGCTTCCCCTGCGGCTTTGCAAAGCCTCGGGGAAGCCGGCAGCGGAGCAGCCCAGGCACGCCTGGGCTGCCTCGCTGCCCGAGCCCCTCCGCGGCTTTACTCCACGTCTTCCTGGTCTGAAGACCAGGAAGACGCGGTGCAGCTTCTCTCGCTCTGGAGTACACGGGCGGCGGGACCGCGAGGGCCCGCAGTCTGTGTCCTCCGGGGCGAGAAAAGCCCCGTTCATAACTGCGGATCCGACATAAGTCGGATCCGTGTAAGTCGGGGACTGCCTGTAATCACAAGTATACCCTTATTTTCATGACCATAGAATTCTAACCATTTTGTGTTACGGCACAGCATTCAGTGTTTTGGGTTTTTTCATGTTGTTTGAATACAAATTATAGAACAGTTTGAAAAGAAATAAGATATGACATTCCTAAGTGGGGAAAAAAATATTAGAAAACAGTATTGAAAAAAAGAGGAGAAAATGAAAGGCATGGTCTTGCAGGCTGAGAGTCAGCAGCCTTGCATGCGGAAGGGAGGTCGGGCGGCAATCGTAGCAGTGGGGATTGTTGCCAGCTCCCAGCCCATATGTGCTCACAGACTGGGAATTGGCAGCCCAGTGCAGGGTTGGAAGCAGTCAGGGCGGAGCAGCCCCTGCTTGCAGAGTGGGGGCCACTCCAGGCCGGTTGTGATGGTGGGGGTGCTCCAGCACAGTGGGCTAGAATGCCCTTCCCCCCACTCACTCCATTTAATCAGTTAACATTTAACCAGTTGACTAATTCAGTGGGATTTTACATCCCTAGTATGTAGTTGAAGGAATGGGAAATTGAAGGAAAAAATATTAGAGTATAAAAGCAAGGGAGACATTTAAGTCTTCACATCAGAATTTTTACTCTGAGTATTCAGAGGTGTTTGGGACTCAAAGAAATTAGTGGCACCTAGATTAGGAATGTGACTATTTAAACCAGGGGTGGGCAATAATTTTTGCTCAGGGGCCACTTCAAAATTTTTTGAAGTAGCCCTGGAAGTGGTGGGGCCTAAATGGGAAGGGGCGAGGCTACCCTGCCCCCAGACCATGATTGGTCTGGGGGTGGGGAGTCCATTTGCCCCCCCTCCTTCCCAAAAGGCACCCATGCCCTGGAAGAAGGTTGGCACACTCCCCCACCCCCTAGGTCAATCAGGGCCTGGGGTTGGGGGAGCACGGGAAGCCTCCTCCCGTCCTGCAAGTGGCACTTTGAAGCACTCTGGGCTACTCACTGGGCCAGGGCAGGGTGAAGGAAGCTTCACACAGCCCCGGCCCTGATTGGCCTGGACGCAAAGGAGCGTGCGAAGCCTCCTCCACTCTCCCCCCACCCTGGAAGCAGTGTGTGGTGCTTCAAAGCACCATGTGCTCCTGGGAGGGTGGGGGAGCTCGTAGCGCTTTGCCGCACGCTGCTTGCAGGATGGGTGCAAAGCGGAGAAGGCTTCAGGCGCTTCACCACCCCCAGACCCTAACTGGCCTGCAGCAGGGCCTCTGCAGGCCAGATCCACTCGCTTTGCGGGCCGAATCCGGCCCACGGAGGCCCTTTCGCCCACTCCTGGTTTAAACGGTAAATCAGTGAGGGCTGGAGCAGCTCCCTCACCAAAGTACCATGGCCTGCCGTAGTTAGGGGCTGATCTGGTGAGCCCAGGGGTGCTCCAGCATACTGCAGTGGGCCTGGGCGACCCACATGTAGGGGCTCTCTAGTACATCTGGTGCAGCCCCTGACAGCTGTGGGGAGGAGGGGGAGCCACCCTAACCCCTCCCAACTGTCCCCGTTTAATTAGTTAACAAGTTCAATGGGATTTTACATCCCTATTCTGGACTCTAGGGAGTTAGCCAGTCAGAGGGATATAGTACCATGACAGCAGGGAAATGGAATGAACTGTTGAGGAAGAAGCAACAGTTCTGTATAAAGTGCTGAACTAAATGGTTAATAATGCACCTGAACCTGCCTTATATGGGAATATCCCTGGTTCTGACCCTGTCTGGGGGTTGAGGAAGCAGTTCTGTCCACTGCCACTCCTCTGCCCCCTTAGCTGGGGGAACTGCAGTTCTTCTCCAGAGGCTTTCCCCCCACTACTGCCATAATGGAGAGGGGGGGAAGCAAGGTGGAAAGCCACATGTGGCCCCAGGAGCCGGGCATCAGATAAGCACCCCACTCGCATCCCCCTCACACGCCCTCCCTTCCTCCCAGATCCTGTCCTAGCTCCCTCCCATGGTTTGAAAAATTCATTCATGTGGCATACACTGTTTCCCAGGGTTGCTGGATAAAAGACATTTAGGTGTAATATGAGAAGGACCAGGTATGTGAGGTAGCATTTTTTATTGGACCAACTTCTGTTGGTGATGGAGGCAAGCTATTGAGCTCACACAGAGCACTTTTTCAGATCTGGGAAATACGATGCTTTTCTCCAATGACACTCAGTGTATTTCCTACATCTGAAGGAAAAGCATATATTTAAAGCCAAATGATATAGTAATTACGATGTATAATTTTAAAAAGAACAATGCAAGAACAACCCTATTGTTGGTGTTTGTTATACCACATGGAAATTAGTATATTTTGTAATGGATTTAGAACTCTAATTCTTTAAGCATGGGCAAAGGGGGAATCTCTGTCACACCCTGAGCACCACAGAGTTCTTGGCTGTTCTGGGTTGCAGAGCAATCTATGTACAAAAATCAGGAGGCAGCCATGAATTTAGAGATACTACAGCGTTTGCTTCCCCCTTTCTGCTTCATTCTCCCCACCTCCTCCTGGATTGCAGTCCTTAGAGGCATAACACAGAAATTTACCACGTTTCCTAATTTGCTGTATGATTTGGATAAAAATGTTTGCTGGAATGGATGTTCCAACAAGTGCAGTGAACTAGGGAAACTTTTTCTGAGTTACTTATTTTGAAGAAAATGTAGACTCGATAAGATCCTCCTTTACTCGTTTTCTCTTTCTTAGATTGTGAAAATGCAAATTTTAAACTTTTGGTAAAATATAGATCAATGGTATGTTATGTAATATGCAGTATATCTACCTTTTCCTTTAACTCCTTAGAATAAAATAACAGTAGGTTTAGAAATAAACACCAGAGGTAGAAAGCAAAGTCAAGATAATATTGGAAATCAGATATGTATAAAAATCTCTTTTATATTTTAGTTCTACAAACACGTTGTACAGAGTGTTGAGAAATTCATTCAAAAGGTATGTAATTTGAACCTATTATATTAACATATGGATATGAACTAGGATTTTACATTATATTTTGGATACAATTTGAAGAGATTTTTTTTGTGCTCTACAAACACAGATAAATATTTTGTGTGAATATAAAATTCAGTGGAATATCAGTCATGCACAAATTCTGGAAAACTAAAATAGTCATCTCGACTAGAAAATAAGTTAGTATATGAGATGATGGTTATATGTAAGATAAATTGTGCAGAATGAGTACAGAGATAAGATTATGAAAGTATTACTCTTTTTAAATTAGTTACCTTCGGAATTCGGATTAATTCTGTACTTAGGTTTATGTAGCATTAAAAGGATGCTGTCAGCTTAAAAATAGGTTAGTTTATCAGTGCTGATTGTATATTTTCTTCCAGATCATTAATAGGTTATTGCACTGAGAACCACCACTATCAGGAATCCATTTTGAAATCACTCCCTAGATGATTCCCCATTAACAATTGTGTTTTGAGCTCTGTCTCTGTTTTTAATTAATTTCACATGTACTATATTGATTTTGTACATTGCTTATTTTAAAATCACAATATTGTGCACTACTAAGTCATACATCTTATTGAAGTCTAAAGTATATCCCATCAAAAGTTAACAGATATGTAATCTTATCAACAATTTATATTAAATTCACTTGAAGAGACCTGCTTTGATTAGAAGCATTAGACATTGTTTTCCTGAAATCCATGTCAAGCTGATTGTCCTATTTTTACTAGGAGACTCCATTTACCTTTATTTTAATATTGGTACAACTTTGGTTTTCTTCCAGTTCTCTTACTCTTTTCCACTTTTCTAAGATTTAATAAAAATGTTCCAAAAGCTGCTTAGCTCACTTTTTAAATTATAAATGTTCTTGGATGCAAGATACCCAGATGTGATAAGTTGTAAAAAATGTGATTTTTTAGTTGATGCCGTTTAGCACCCTCCTTGGTTACTATTTGAAAAGACAATCTTTTGTCATTATATAAGATGGAGTTGTTTTTAAACATGATGCTTGTTCAGTGTGTCTATTAACATACGGATAAGAAGCAGCATAGACTGTGATTGAGGGGAACAATAGAAATTAAGGCTCATTCTTGTTAAATCCTGAACAATTGATGTACAGCCTCAGACTGAAAACATAATACGGTAATGTACACACATACCAATTTCAAATGTTATTCCTATAAAGTAATTAATTAAAAAAACTACTGATGGAAGTTTACAGAAAAACATGTCATAGCCATCATTAGCAGTGTGACACTAGATGTCGCTTGATTATACACACTGTCATAAAGTCACAAGCAGAACTGTGCAAAGTGTAATTTAGGAAAGCAATACCGGTTTCACTTCCCTAAACCAGGGCGCACTCGTCCAGCAACATCTGTGAACATGAGAATCCTGGGGCAGGAGGAACCCTAACCCAGCGGAAATATGGAAATATGTGGGATCCTAGGTAGTGAAAGAGAGGTAGTTGACGTGAGAAATGTCAATTAATGGATGTAGTATACATTGCATATTTGGAAGTCTTTTATTTTCTTGCTTTTTATGATTTGCATCTATGATAGCTACAGTTTATCAACCATAATGCTAAGGTAGTGATACTTGAATGGGAATATTTAAAAACACTCATGCTACTTTGATAGTACATGTCCATTCCATTTCAGGTTTGCTCACATGTCTAGTAAGTTGTTGCTGGAGAATATTGCTTCAGTGATACCCTTCAAGCAGTATATATGCCTCATGCTGCTATTTGATGATGTGTAGGCCAGAGCCTTTCCCCGACTCCCTATTAGTTCCTTCTCACTGCATACAATGGTTATTGGAACATTCTTCCTTGCTTCTGCAAGTTCTTTGAATCGATGTAGATGTGAATTTCACTTACCATGCACACACCTAGCACACCAGAGCCAGAAATTTTGCCAAGCAGTATACGCAGAAGGCATCACTTGCCCCTCGTGGCTGTCACCCGTGCTCTGGCTATGTGAGGCAGTACCACCCAAATCCCTCTCAGTTCCATTTTGCCGTTCTTAGCTGGAGTCAGAGCTCTGTGTGGTTGTTGCTTCACAACCTTGCAAATGATCTAATTCTTGTTGTGTATAGCTAGTTGTAGTGGTTAGGAATGTTAAATATCAATTAATAATCCTGTAACTGCTAAGATTTATGTGGTTACATGGTTATTCAGTCTTTGGGGGTGGGGCTGGCAACCATTGTGCTCCCGACCCCACTTCTGGGGATCCTGCTGTCACCCTGCACTGCTGCTTCTGTCTCTGACGGCTCTGTGCAAACCAGTTCCCGCCTGCCCCCTGCACTACTACCTCTATGGGAGACATCAGAGAAGGGAGGGGTAGGAGGTTTATGGGAACCAGCACACGCAGGGAGCTGGCTTAGATACCAGCACCCGCCCTCCACCCTTGCTGCCTCTGAGACAGAGGCAGCAATTTGGGGGTGCATATAATCGTTTGGATTAGCCAGTAAGATTAATCTTATCGGTCAATCTTCTAAATGACTATAAACACCAAGAAGAAGGAGGAATTATGTGATGTTATGTACTGTTGTATGGTATCAATGGGGTAAAACTAGTGAAGGGGGAAAAAGGTGATATCCAGAAAAACTTCTTGATAATGAGGCTGTCAATCACTTTTCCTGGAGAAACAGTGGGATCAGCAATAACTTGGGACTTCTAGAACTGGACTATCCACATCGCTAGGAAATGTAGAGATATGGACTAGAATATGTAATCTGTCTCTTAAGTCTATTATTCTAATGATAGGAAAGTTGCAGTCTTATATTTGATTCCAATTTCAACCAATATAAAATATATTTGAGCATATTTTATGAATTATATTAGGTTTCATATGTTTCTTCGGCCTTCACAGTTGCACAAGTTGGAAGCTGTGTGTTCAAACTGATCTAGTTAAACCAGCATAAATGTGAGATTCTTAAATCAAGTTAAAGCTTGGTTCTTATATTTTTAGGTTGTGTCAGTAAACATACAGATTCAAGATGCACTGATACAAGAATGTCTGCACAAAGGTTTGCACCCGTTTAACTGAATCAGTCTTTAAACTGATTTTAGTTACAGTGGTTCAGCTTTGTGTATTCACAGAATGTTGGGAGTAATTTCTCCTTTGTTAATAGGATTGTACTTCATGCCCTACTGGTCTTTAGGTACTGTACCATTTGAAACTTTCCCAAAGTTTGAAAATATAATTGGTGTCTTATCAAGCAAAGACACATGTTGCGTATAAGTATTTTAGATGAGCCAGTGTTTTGATTCAGTTATTGTTAAGAAAGAAAAGAGTACTGTATATAGAAATGTACTGACACCCTGCCCCAACTCCCTTTGTTGAAATTTTCTCTGCCTAGTCATTGGCGCAGTGCTTTTTATCTGACCACGGTACAGTAACATTAAATTTCAAAACTATATGCCTTTCCTTGTTTTAGTTTAAAATTGCCAGGCTGTTTGTTTGAGTCCAGTTTTTGGGAATGATGTGAAACTAGTTTTCATCATTTAATATTCAGCATGATGCATGTAAGTACTGAGAGAGAAAATTGAATCATGGCTATTATAATTGAGATGGCTTCAAATTTATCATGTATGAATACAGTGCAAACTTACTAGATATTAAATGTAATTTTGAAAAGTAGTTTATATATTAAAAGTCTTACTTTTGTGATATAGGCAGTCCCCGGGTTACGTACAAGATAGGGACTGTAGGTTTGTTCTTAAGTTGAATCTGTATGTAAGTCAGAACTGGCGTCAAGATTCACCCACTGTTGAAACTGATCAGCTTCAGCAGCGGCCGAATCTGGACGCCAGTTCCGACTTACATACAGATTCAACTTAAGAACAAACCTACAGTCCCTATCTTGTACGTAACCCGGGGACTGCCTGTAAGGAAAAGTCCTTCCCATAACACAAGAACCTAATCTTACCAAATGAAATGAATAGGCAGCAGGTTTTAAACAAACAAAGGATGTATTTCTTCACATAATGCACAATCACCTTGTGGAACTCCCTGCCAGAGGATATTGTGAAGGACAAGCCTTAAATGGTGTTAAAAAAGAACTAGATAAATTCATGGAAGATAGGTCCGACAATAGCTATTATCCAGAATGGAAAGGGATGGTGCCCCTAGCCTCTATTTGTCAGGGCTGAGAATGGGAGACAAGGGATAGATAATTAAATGATTAACTGTTCTGTTAATTTCCTCTGGGGCATTTGGCACTGGCCACTGTTGAAGACAGAATACTGTGCCATTCTCATGTTCAAAAAAACAAACAAAACCCCCCAAACTCTGCTTTTACTCCTGACAACTGACTTTCTTGAATGTTTAGAATTGTGTATCCATCCTCTGACAAAACCAATCTTCATGAGACAGAAAGCAGATAGCAGAAAAAATGGGGGTGGCATTTCAGAAGTACAATTATATTCAGAGAGCTCAACATAAAACCTCCTGGATCACAACACATTAGTTCAATTATCAAGTTTCAAGTCCAATTACAAATAGCCAACACAGCTGCTGCGGGTTTGCTCCCGGTGCCCCTGGTCTGCTGGAGATGGTCCCCAGCAGACCAGGGGCACCGGGAGCAGCTTATCTCGCCCCGGAGCTCGGAGCATAAGTTGTGCTGTCCGGCATTCTGCGCATGCGCAGATCGTTCTACGCATGCACAGATCGCCCGAACCCAGCTCTTCTGGGTTGCAATCTACTCACCATAGGTGAGTAGATTGCATTATTTGTCGAGCCCTGCTGATATCCATGGTCCCCAGCAGACCAGGGGCACCGGGAGCAGCTTATCTCGCCCCGGAGCTCGGAGCATAAGTTGTGCTGTCCGGCATTCTGCGCATGCGCAGATCGTTCTACGCATGCACAGATCGCCCGAACCCAGCTCTTCTGGGTTGCAATCTACTCACCATAGGTGAGTAGATTGCATTATTTGTCGAGCCCTGCTGATATCCATAATACTTGGATTAAAAATTATTGTGAATCGTCATAGCATTTACATGTGTATTATTGGTGAGTCAATTTTTTATTGTGATTTTATTGATATTTTCTGTCTTTGGAATCTTAACTGTGATTTTGTTCTTTTTCAGTTACACATTTTAAAACTATCTTCTTTCTGTAGTGCAAACCAGAATACAAGGTGCCTGGTCTCTATGTTATTGACTCTATTGTGCGACAGTCCCGGCATCAGTTTGGGCAAGAAAAGGATGTGTTTGCTCCTAGATTTAGCAATAATATCATCAGCACTTTCCAGAATTTATACCGTTGTCCTGGAGATGACAAGGTATGTATGCTCTTTCAGATTAATACTTTAAAATATACTCCTTCAACAACAACATTTTAAACATAGTGTCTAGCAGAACTCAAACCACATAGTTTTGGGCTCCTTCTCCTATTTCTTCTGCAGTAGGTAAATGTTGTTGTTCTGAGTTGTGCACACTTCAGTGGATAGAAATTATGCTGGGGCTCAAAGCTAGCTAAATTTGAGCCACATTTAATATGTGCTTGTATTAAAATCCTAGGTGCATAGGAAAGTTTCTTGTTTTTAAGTATCAGTATCCCTTAAGATAACTTTCTAGTGTTGTTCCCTAAGAATAAGAGTACAGAATTTGGAGAAGCAAAACCAATCATTTTGTAGTATGCTACTAAATATGCAAGACTTTCTACCCTCATAAATGGACAGTATAAAACATAATAGGCATAATGTAGTTTTCTAGCTTTAATCCTTTTGTTGTCCTATTTTTCCTTTAGAGTAAAATTGTTAGAGTGCTAAATCTGTGGCAGAAAAATAATGTATTCAAGAGTGAAATTATCCAGCCTCTCCTGGATATGGCAGGCTCCAGTCTTGCCCAGTACTACAGCTGCTATGAGCAACAATACACCAGGTAAAGACAATGGAAAACTTGTTTCAAATTTGTTCTGTTTGGCAATATTTGTTCTGTTCGGCTATCAATATTTGCCAACTTTACATGATTGATAATGGACCAGAATTTTCACTAGCCTTCAGGCAAGTATTATAACTAAATTGAGTGGTCGCAGGAGCGCCGCGAATTAGCCGCCCGTGCTCTGGGCGTGCGGCGCTTGGGGTGAGGGGGGGCGCTGGCCCTGGATGCACAAGTGTCCCTGCCCTCTGGCGCCTGGCAGGCGAATGGCCACGCCCCCTGGTGCCTGGCAGCCTCAGATGGTTGGGGACCACTGATTTAAATGATCAAGAGGTGAATCTAGATTTAAATAATTAATTTCAGTCTTGATTTGCATTTGTACTTTTGTCTGTTTTCTTAAAGAGAAGTTGATTCTCATTAGTTGGTAATAATTAAAAAGTTGATTTGCAATTTACACTAAAATTGGAATCTATTTCTGCTCATCAGGAAGGTACAGTGTATCTGTACACATTTATTTAAGCATTTTATATTACTTAGTTTACATTTACTCATTTTTAGTTTTTACATTTTTTATTAGAAAATAATGACATAATTTTTTGTTGTTGAGTAGATGATGATTCTTTGTGATTTGCATCAAGCTTTTATATGGATAGAATTTGGAACTGCACAAAAACAGCTTTGTAATGTTTTTATTTCTTATAAATCCACCTTAAATATGCTGGATTTGTAAGAAAAAAGTTTATCAAAACAGATTTTGTATGTAAAACAAATTGACATAAATCAGAGGAAGTATTCTTTGTTGTTATTGAGTTGAACTGATTGTTTCTGGTCACCATGTCCTTCAAGACTTCAGAACTAGTAGATCTTATGCTCATGCCTAGTTTTTATTCATAGATTGAAGAGGAAAGCAAGTTTTCCTGTGGGGTTGTTTTTTTAACTTCTGTTCAGTTTCTTAACTTTGAAGGAATCTAGTCATTGAACTGAGCTAGTTGAATAAATTGAAATTAAAATATTCTCTCTCCATCTGCAAAAGAGGTTGCTGCTGCTATCAAAAAATGGGTTAGAACTTATACAAACTCTAGTTGCAGTTATTTAGCCAGTGACTTCCATTTCAGCATTTGATTTTTCCTAAAAGCTTTGGCAGCAAACATGTACTGCTTAGTATTAGTTCTGTAATTTGATTTAAATTATTGGAATGGATTATTGTAAATTTAGGTTTTTGCTCAAGGTGTCATTTCAAATTCAATTGTAAATAGGTTTTTGAAAATCTGTTTAAATTAAAGAAATCCAATTTAAATTTAAAAAATCTATTTTTTTTTCAACAAACTTCACTTTTTTATCCTGCTTGGATTATTTAATAAGAAATGGTTTTATGGTTGCAAATAATGAAAAATCAGAGGGGGGAAACCTTGTTCAATATTCATGTCATAAATCTGTGAGAGTCTCTCTTAATGAGACTAAGAGTCTTGCATTTACTTCAAGCAAAATTAGTATTTGTTAGCTATACGTATGATCATACTTAACTGATAATCTAAGGAATTTCCATGATATCGGTAGCACTAGAGTTGGCTTTCTTCTGTTTGTGTAGACTTAATCACACTAATACATAAAGTAATCTGTATATGCACCATTTATGTAGAAAACACAAAATACTGTATAAATAAGCCTGCTTATATATATGAAATTGTATTTTTGTGTGTGTGTGTGTGTGTGTGTGTGTGTGTGTGTGTGTGTGTGTGTGTGTGTAAGTATCTTATTAGGTAAGGGCTTTGCTTCAGCTTCATTTATTTTGTGTGCATTTTTTATATTCATACTCAGTTTACTGCATTAAACTGCTAGAAATCATCAGTTCTAACACTTCTGAAATCTAAAATGTTGCAGTAGTTTGGATTTGGCATTGTTCTGCATTTACCTTCACTTCAGAATTACAGGAAGGTTGGTCTGACATCTGTGGCAGAACTCATCAGAACTAAAACAGAGAACTAATTGGCAAAATTCCAGCCTCGGAACTCTTATCTTTTGACTCAAAAGTATTCCTCCCACAAATTTGGATGGGAGAAAGACAAAACAGAGGAGAATCTCACCCATAGAATCTGATAGGTCTGAGTGGAAATTGAGGAAGGTAGACATGCCCTGCTGATGGATGAGCTGGGAGCGTGCACCAGGGTGCAGACTACTGGACATCTTTTATATAGTTGCCTATAGAGCAAATGTACCTTTTCCAAGAAGTTTTACCTTGCAGCTGGCCAGGACCTGCTTCCTTTTCTAGGGGCCAACATCTCTCCATAGCTACTTGTTCACAAGTTCAGTCTTGTGATTCAGTTGATCTATTTGTATGAATATTTTTAAGTTTATAATCTGTACTGTAGTATACAGAGCAGACTACTGAGTCATGGGTAGCTTTGGGTAGCTGAATATATGCCCAAGTGTGAAGCCTACTTCTTAGGTGTTGTCTGCAGATTGCTATGTTATGATATTGGTTTGACCAAGTGTGAGGTGTGATTTCTTCTTTTCTATTTAACTTTTATTTTATTGCTACCTTATTCCTCTCAGCTTACCCTAAGACAAGTTGTCTGTTTTTGTTCACTGTTCGTGTCTTGTCTTATTTGTGTACTCAGCACCGAGCAAAATGGGACTTTTTATCTTTGATAACACTTATAAGTAATAATACCTTAAGACAAGCACTGAGAGCATTTCTACATAGAGAACATTTTAACTACAGTTTTATCATTTATATTATGTTTTTAATAGGCCTTAAAAATGACTAAGGCCAAGGCAATTTATAACATCAGAATTGACTTTGTTACTCACGTTTCCTGATTATATCTATCCTGTAATGCTGCAAAGTTGAAAATAGTTTTAAGGATTGATTGTTCATTGTCTCAGTAGTATTTCGAGGCATGTTAGTGTTTAGTGAATACTTTCACATGTATTTTCAAACATGGCCATCTCTGTAGTTTCCAGAAGTCATTACCATCTGATGACTTAACAATGAATTTGAAACCAGATCAAATCTCCTTCAGTCACCCTAAAACACAAAAGAAGATCTACATAATAGAGACTGTGCAAATTCAAGATCACAGTGAACACTACAGTATTTTGCATCCAGTGGCATTCTTGTTGGCAGTCTCAGCAGACAGGACAGCATAATGTGTCATGAGTAGTGTTCCATCTAATTTTCCCATCCATGTGCAGAATACGTTTTATTACATGCACCAGTACATGTATACGTGCACCCCTAATAGAAACACATGCTGTTAGCTGTGGGTGCTCTGCTAATCAGCTGGGCGGCATTTGAATCTCCTGCAATTGCTCAAGCACTCAGCAGGCAAAGAACACTGGTCATGAGACTCTTACAGATAGTTCCACCACTGGAGGCAGATGGGTGGGAAAGTTTGTACTCTTCCTGCCCCATGCTGTTCTGTGTATAAAGAATTGCTGGTTTCCATGGATGTCATCGTGGCACTTATCCAAAGTACAGCCAGTCCCTGACTTAGGAACGCATCGACTTACGACCGTCCACATTTACGACCAACCTCCCATTAACCCCATTACAGCCAGTCCCCGACTTACAAACGCACCATCTGCACTTAAGAACAGCGCGGCTGTATGTAAAAGCATGTATTTCCGACTTACGAACAAATCGAGTTACGACCAGGTGTTTGGAACATAATCCGTTTGTAAGTCGGGGACCGGTTGTACTACATTTAGTTAAAAAAAACATTTTATTTTAATTACAAGCCCATATTTCATTTCAGACATTTAAAAATTATGTAGAAATTTGACTTTTGTGATGGCTTATTGTTCAAAAACTATTTCTACACAATTGATCCATAATGCAAAATAAACTGTCATATTCACTATGACTCTGATTTTCAGTTTGTTTTTACTGCTGCAATTTGTGTATATGAAAAACAGTGTTGACAACTTAGCTCTGTCTTGCTTTATCTCTTTTAGGAACTCCTGTGACCCCTGTTACTCCAGCTAATGTTGTACAAAGTTTACCTGATCCTTGGGTTTCTCAAATTGCTAATACAGATACACTTACTGCTGTTGCACATATCTTACAGAGTCCCCAAGGCCAACAGGTAAATACTTTTGGGGGGTAGTTAGACTTGTTTGTACAATATTTAATATGACAGATGAAAGTGTTTATCAATGTTGTTATTTTAAAAAAAATTGTCCTAAGCATAACAGGTCCATAGAGCCGAGGTGTCCAGCATGCTAGCCATTAGGTAAATATGGCTAGTTGATTTGAATCATGTAGCTATTTGGTCTGTTGAATATGGCTAGTTTGCTATAATAATTTGCTTCAGGACTGGCTGGACACCATGGCTATCGAGACTGTCCTTCATAAATAAGTTTGAAATATTTAACAATTCTTTTTATCCTTTGTGAAATTCTCTTGGTTCACTGAATGTATCCAAGAAGGTGACATCAGAAACCTGTAAAAGATTCATTGCAGTCCATATAGTACAGTAAAAAAAGAATTAATTTGAGGGTTGTTTGGGTGCCTTAAATGATAGTTAAAATGTATTGCTATGCTGAATGCATCCTGAAAGTTAAAATATGTTTGGGTATGTCTACACTTGCCCCCTACTTCGAAGTAGGGAGGCAAATGAAGCATACCGAAGTTGCAAATCAAGCCCGGAATTTAAATATCCCGTGCTTGATTTGCATGTTCCCGGCCACTCGTCATTTTAGAAATTCACTAGCCCCGAGTAACTGCCTGCGTCTACACGCAGCAGTGAAACGGGAGTCCGATTTAAAGCCCTAACTCGAATTAGCTGGTATTCTTCCTTCAATGAGGTTTACCAGCTAATTCGAGTCAGGGGCTTTAAATCCCATTTCACTGCCACGTGTAAATGCGGGCAGTTATTCCGGGCTAGTGAATTTCTAAAATGACGAGTGGCCGGGAACATGCAAATCAAGCGTGGGATATTTAAATCCCGGGCTTGATTTGCAACTTCGGTATGCTTCATTTGCCTCCCTACTTCGAAGTAGGGAGCAAGTGTAGACATACCCTTTCTGAGTGCAGTGGCGGGTGCCTCAACATGGAAGTCTGTGATTTAACTCCAGTTCTCAATTTTCTCTTGCAGTTGACCTTTAAATATTCCCTTCACTTTCATTCTCAGGATATTCAGGAAGTTTAGCAGTATTCTTAATACATGACTCTTGGCCTACATTTTCACAAGTGACTGAATTTGGGTACATCACTGTATGAATGCCCAGCTTGATGCATCTCAGATGCCTGATGCTGAGAAAATGCTGAGTACCTAGTCTCTGAAAATTAGTCCATATCAACATTCCATAAATTGGGCACTGAGTCAATATTCCTTTTGAAAATGTAGGTTTCATCATCAGGTAATAATGGCATACACGTCTACTCCGGCAGTCCCTAGTATCCCAATTTGAGTGGGCTGCTGTGGTGGCCCTGAATGTAGCAGATGTCGGACAGCTGTTACATTGCAGCACTAAAACTGTCCCACCCAAATTAGTGTGTGGAGACTGTCACAGACTGATGCTGCCATCTCATGGGCTAAAAGTGCAACAGTTTTGGTATGTTAAAGATAATCAGTATCTTCTGCAACTAGCCAGAAGCCTGAGGCATGACAATTTTTACTCAGGGAAATGAACAATGAGAACTTGAGTGAAAAGGGTACCAAAGTGAGGTGAAGACCCTGTAAGGAGGAGTAAAAAGGTAACATGGAATAAGCGACAGTAGGATTTGGTAGGGATGGTGTCCTAGAGAAATAGAGATGTAGAATGAGAAGGGAGATGTGGGGTAGGAATTTTGAGAGAACTCAAATATTACCGGTCAGAGGTTATTAAAAGAAATTAAGAAGAAACAACAGAGGAGAAAAGGGAAGGACTCTGTGGACCAGAAGGGAGTTGCAAACTCTTTAAAAGAAGGCAGAAGGTACAGATATAGCTTTTGAATCAAAAGATAAACGGAAGAAAATATGGGATGCAGTAGGGAGGTATGTCAATACATCCTGAGGTCAACATTAATATATAGAGCGAGAATGAGGTAGTTAATGTAACAGGGACTCAGTATGCAACATCTGCCCCCCCCACAAACCCCAGTCAAAATTTGTGATTCCCCCCATTCACATTTTAGGACTGTATTTTGTGAGTGAAAAGAAGACAGTGACTCAATGGCTGTTTGTGGTGATACATACGGGTAAGATGAGAGTGTAGAGATAGGATGGCAACCAATCATCCAAGATTTTCCCATTCTAAGTCTTTCTCCTCAGCTTCTTCAGTTTGATTCCTGACTCACTCAAGGCAGCACACAAGAAGGTGACCTCTAATGGTGGTCAGACATGGCCATAGTCTATTAAGCACACACATACAGAAAAGAGAACACTTCAGCTGTGCCCCTTGCAGTCAACTTTTTCCCACAGGTGCCTTAAGAAATCTTCTGCTCTGATTGAACAAAGCCTCCACCCTGTTAGCAGAGTAAAGCAGTAGCTGAAGGGCTTCGTGGTCTATGACAGACAAAATCAACTGCCCAAATTCACTAACAATGGAGACAAAGTCCCTCATAGCAACAGAGATTCTCTACAGAGCATTAGCAGAGCAAGGCAGAAGTTCATTAACTTTTAGATGGACTATGGAAGACAAAACCAGCCCACCCAGGTTATAAAGACTTCCCAGTGGCACTTAATAATAAAGGGTCACCATCTTCAGGAAGTTTGACACCCATCAGTAAAAAGAACCTACTATTCCACTCATTAGTTTGAACTGGTGAGCTGGCGTTTGAATCCTAAGAAAAACTGAGGCTTGCAAACTCAGTTCACTAGGACTAAGATCTTTGATAAAAATGTTTTGTATGAAGTCTAAGACAATTGGGACTCCAATTCATCTAGGTGGGGAAAGAAACCTGTTTCTCGTTCTGTAGAAAAGACTTCCCACATCAGATTTAAGGTGAGAGAAATAAAAAAGGGGTACTCTGGCCTGAGTAGAGTACCCTTCAAGAGTAGTGAACTAGATCCAGTGATTTTGGGGTACTGGTGTCTTATCTCTTAAAGTGTTGAAGCACCTACTCCTTAAAGTCTGAGGTTACCTTAGAAGAGACTCTTGCCATATGAGCGAGCTTCTTTCCTTTTTGCACGAGCAAAGTTGGTATGTTAATTGGTTGGTATAATTTAAGGAGAGCTTTTTCACTGGCAAATGTATAGGTTTCTGTTCTGAAGGTGTTTTCTTTTATTTAGGAAGCTTTTTTACATTTTCTGTAGTCCTCCATATTTAGAATTCCATAGTAACACATCTATTACAGATTTTTTTTCAAAAGTCATAGTTTCCTTTAAAGTAAATAGGACATGTCCCTTTAGAGTTAGTCCCAGTACTGAACCAGGAACAGAAATTTTTGACACACCATGGATCACAGGAAGGTCTTTGTAGTGCATGTAGCCTAGAATCTTCCAGAGACACAGAATCCTATATCGTTCTTTTGTTATGGCTCAGGATGTCTTGTTATGGCTGAAGGATTCAAAGCCAGTTTCCAGGAGATTTATAAGACTTGAAAAGTTCCTTGTCCATTGAGATTTGTACCCACCTCAGCAGAATGATGGACATCTGGGCTGCAGACGGAAGTTGTCATTAGAAAAGACTTGCCAATTTCTCTGTGTTTCTTGCTTAAGCAGATAACAAGCATTTAAATAATGTGCAGATGTTGTCCTTACCTGCAGAGTGCCTTGGAACACTCCATTAAAGAGAATTGGTGGAGACCTTTGAGGTTCTTGTTCATCTTACTACCCATCTCCTGCCTTTAGGCTCCCTCTTCTGGTTCAGCCATGAGTCTCCTGTTCTCCTTTCCTAGATTATTTTCTCTCATGATACTGCTGTACAGAACCCAGTATCTGTTCTTTCTCAAGATGAGGCACAGAAGGGCAAATTATATTCCCATGTACTGACTAATTTCCTTTTTGTGGCTCGGTTGAGACAGCACAGATTCCCACTACTGGATTTGCCATGCCCAAGCTTCAACATGACACTTGCCTGGTAGGCAGTATACATACACAAGTGCAAAGCTTTGATACAGACATGCTGCACCAGCTAAAATGGAGCTTGTACCAGTGTAACTTGATGGAGGACTGGACTTGATGACACTTCAAGGTCCCTTCCAGTCCAATGATTCAGTGATTCATTCTACATGTGTAGCTACACTGGTACAACATTTCCTAATCTAGAGGGACTCTTGAGAGGGTAGAGCAGGCTAACAAATTATTTTACAGATCAAAAGGAATCAAACTGGAGAAGCAGAAGAGGGACCCCTAGAAAGCAGAAAAATCCTGGATTGTCATTGGTCGTCATCCTACTGGTCACCGATTTTAGGAGGTGGAACCTCATGTCTACAGTATCTTGTCTGATCTGCAGAAAGCAAATTAGCCAGTAAGTGGGAATGTAATTTGCTGTAACTACCAACAGACTAAATTGAAATTATAGCCCTGAGATAGATATGCTGCACTGGTGAGATCTTTATTCACAAGAAAGGCAAAAAGTTAGCTGAGCTTTAATTTGTTATTAATTCAGTTATTGCTGTCTCTTCCAGCTTCAGCAGTTAATACAGACGCTGCAAATACAACAACAGAAGCCACAGCCTTCACTTCTTCAAGCGCTAGATGCTGGTCTTGTTGTTCAGTTACAGGCCCTCACAGCACAACTTACAGCTGCAGCTGCTGCCGCCAACACACTTAATCCACTGGAACAGAATGTCTCTTTTAACAAGGTAGAAGTTGGAGGACCAAGTTTGAATAAATGCATATACTGTTGCTGTTTATATTTAAAGACATCTCATGAGTTGTGCATCTGTTTTAAGTGTCTTAAGAAGTGCATGACTAAGCTACAAAGAAGTTTTTTGCATGAATGATTTTCCAAATACAAAAATTATTTTCTTTAGAGAAGGTAATACAAATACACAAATGATTAATTTTATATAATTTAAGAGTAATAGACATTTTTCAGAAGGCCAAAGTTAATTTCCATTAGTAAAGCCAAGTCATTGTTGTATTTAATGAGTTTGAAGATTACCTGCACAAGAAGGAAGGTTGAGCATATACAAAAAAGTCTGAAAGGTTTTCTCAGGGAGAAAAATACTGTAGAAATTCAGCTTTTATGTTGCTTCTTTTTCCAGTAAGACTATAGATGACTTAAGAATCAGTAGGTTTGTTAAATCACAAACACCAAAGAAATAACTACAATTGAACTTCAAAGCAAAAGTGGCAACAAATATAATCAAGTTTATATGCTTAGCGTGAGAATCATATGGAAGCTCTGTGGCGCATAAACTTGAGAGGGATTTTGTTTTTAAAGGGACAAACCTAATCTAAAGACAGTAAAATTGAGGAAATTAAAATCCTTAGACATACTATGGAGGCTATGTAAATAAGATTAACAGAGCACAAATAGTATACCTATATCACTAAAAAGAGTGGGAGGCGACCCAAGAACAAATAGAGTTGAATAGCAAGGTAGAGGAGCGTAAACTATGGCAATGGTAAAATATAACTAGATGTTAGGAAGATTTGGAGGAAAATTCGAAGATGAAATGTACAGAGTTAAAAACAATTGTTTTTGGTATATAAAAAGCAGGACGCCTATGAGAGGATAGTCTCTACTGGATTATTAGGGAGGAAAAAAATGTTGTAGATCAGCTACACACATTCCTAGAGACTATGAAATCTGCTCACCCTTTAAAGGAAGAGCCTATAAAAACAGGGAAATAAATTATATACTTTTAATGATGGAGCGAGTCATGAGAGGCTTCAGAGCACTGCGCGGGGCAGCTCCTTGTACAACAAACTTTCATGTTGGTCAGTGCCCTGTTGTCACTGAGCTTCTAAAGGCAAGATGACACCAAAACCTAGTTCTCTTAACACTCTTCATGAGATGCCCTATAACTGTGCTTTTGGTACTGAGAGCTTCCGATGGGAAGAAGATAAGAGGGACAAAGTATCAGAGAAGTGTTCTTCAAAGAAGCTCCAGTTACTGGAGACACTAGGCCCTGAGAGGAGTGCTAGTGAGGCTCTGTGTACTTCAGGTACCACGAAGCACATTAAGACTTCATCTGAGACTCATACCTCAATGGTAAAGAGTTTGGTATTGAAGACCACTTTTTCCTAGAGATCAGTTTCAGTGCAGCCCTTGACACCCTCAGTACCTGCTTCAGTGCCTCATATGGCCTCCAGAATGTCATCAGCAATGGTACTGAGGGTTTTTTGTATTTTCAGTAAGTTAGGAATTCCAGTATCCAAAGAAGCTTGCAGCATGGAATAAGCCTAAGTCTTTGCTCCTTGCAACTTCCAGATGCTTTTCAGTACCAAAGTCTGCCTGATCACCTGGAGACTAGCCTCTTCTCCTTCTTCAACTATCCACCCTGCAGGAGGGGTTGTGTCACCCCCTTTCCCAGGTGTGAGAAGCATTCTGACTCGACTTCTGATACAAGGATCTCTAATTTATTTTAGGGGATGTTGTTTTCTGTTATAAATACAACTGCAAGATTCCAGACCCTTGTTTTCTTTGGGAGGACCAGTGCTGGATTCCCTACCTTCACTCTCACTCCCGATCTTGCGGTATCCCCTATTGACCTTATTGGGATCCAGGGGCAATGTATAACAACAATTTTGAGGGGCCTCAGTTTAGTCCCACAGGGAACAAAGAAGACTTGATTATGTGGTATTTTCCATCCCTCCTCCCAATTCTGAGCACAAAGAAAACTCTGAGGAGAAAGAGGCAAAATCTGACAAGGAGGCTGCCCTCTTACAAACAGCTCATCATCCGATGAAGCAATAATTCCACTACTGACCTCATTTAATTGATGACTTTAGGCACTTCCAGGACTTGATGAAGTGGGTAGCTGTCAGCCTGCATACTCCCCTAGAAGTAATCCAGAATAGGGATGTGAATGGTTAACTGTTAACCGGTAAGCCTCACCCTTACATAGCTCCAACCCTTTCTGAAGCAGTAGCCACTATATGAATTAGCCACACTCAACTGACCAAATAGTCACATGTGGCTAGTGTGTTGGACACCACAGAGTTAACCTGTGGGGGCTGGAGCAGCTCCCTGCTCTCCAGGACAGAGGGCACTCCAGCCTGGCCAGAGCAGCCCCTGTTGGCAGCGGGCCTGTCCCCAGTGCCACACAGGCAGAGGCACTCCAGTTCAGCCAGAGTAGCCTCTGTCTGCAGAGGTGGAGGCTGCCTTGGCGACTGGGGAAGCTGTTCCTGCACAGCTGGATTGGAGAAGCCCTCATGCCTGTCTCTGCCTTTAACCATAATGTAATGTTTAATTGGTTAACTAATAATTAAACAGTATTTACATCCCTATCCAGAATTCCCATCACATGCTACTGGACTTATTACCCATAGACTCATAGACTCCAAGGTCAGAAGGGACCATTATGATCATCTAGTCTGACCCCCTGCACAGTGCAGGCCACAAAATCTCACCCACCCGTCCTAGAATAATCCTCTCACCTATATCTCAGATATTGAAGCCTTCAAATACTTTGAAGACCCCAAGATGCAGAGATCCTCTAGCTGTGATCTGTACCCCATGCTACAGAGGAAGGCGAAAAACCTCTAGGGCCTCTGCCAATCTACCCTGGAGGAAAATTCCTTCCCGACCCCAAATATGGCGATCAGCTAAACCCGGAGCATGTGGGCAAGACTCATCAGCCAGACACCCAGAAAGTTCTCTAACCCATCTCTACCTCTGCATTAATAACACTGCCAATTAATGAAGCTCTTCGTCTGTCTATCTTAGTAAACTCCAGCAGCAGCAGCACCCCACACCAATGCAAAATGTCTGATTACATATATAAAAAAACCCCTAAGTGCCAGCCAGGGATCCTGAGTTTTAATTTTTTCACCGAATACCAAACTTTCTGGTGATGGACACAATCATTGAAAGGAGTAGGCAGCATATTCAAAATGCCACCTCTTTTTATAAAGACCAGAGATGTCTTGTCACAAGAGCTATTCTTCAGTTTTGGTGTTGCCTTTCTATTTCATTAGTGTGGGTGGCTGTAATGTCAGACAGATGGGTATTGGAGGTCATTTTGGGAGGGGGGTTATGCATCCAGTTGATCTCCATACAACCACTTTTTCTGTCTTTCTCAGGAATGCTTCTCACGATCTATTGCTTATACAGATGATCTCATCACTTTTAAGACTAGGATCCATAGATACTTGTGATCTGCCACTCATACTAGCTTCAATACCTGTTCCCTCTGTTGGCAGATATTCTTGTCTGCATGGCCAGTTTAGAGGAGAATGAAGGGCTATAAGGAGCAAATTCTCTCTTGACCAGTAAGAAGTCAACCCTGATCTTCTTTATATTAAGGCTATTTTAGACTGTTCTTATATCTAATGCAACCTTAGTGCAAATGAGAACACTAGATGAGGAGAGCTCAGAGTTAATACAGAGAGTATCGGCCTGCTGGTTCTTGTCCACATATTTGCCATATTCAGTGTTTGGACGTAATTTTTCCTCCAATGTCAGATTGGCATAGACCTGGGTTTTTTAATTTCTGCATGGGATGTGGATCACTTTGAGGTTTAAAGTACAGGTTGGACTTCCCTGGTCCAGCACCCTTGGGACCTAAGTGGTCCCAGATGAGGTCTTCCTATCCCTCACAGCCACTGGCTCCTCTTACGGCTAAGGTGTCTAATATTTTCTTCATTGAAATCTGAAGAGCTGCTCCTTGGTATTCTGTATACACACTTGCACAAGACTACTCTTTTTTACTTCTAGATCTGATGCTTACTTTGGGAAAGTAGTTCAGCATAATCCTTGTTTTAGTACAAGACCCATAGGCAGCCTTTCTTAGGGGTTTGCATTGTTTACTAGGCTTTCATAATTTAAAATAATCAGAGGCTATCCTGAAGAAGGAAAAAAGCTATTATGTTAACTAGTTATTTTCTATTATATCTTCTGCGTATCTCCTTACCTTCTCTCCTCTCTCTAAATTGTGCTTTTATAAAACTGGTGTTTAGCAAAAGGAATTGAGGTGTTTGGTAATAAAACATTTGAATGTTTAGTGGTGAGAGAGGGCTTTTGTTAGGCACTACATGTGCAGAGGCAACACTTTTGAAGAAACACCACAGTTTCCATGGCAGGTAACTTGTGTTTCTGAATCTATATATTTTGCTTATATCTTTGATTTTTTTTTTCTTTAAAATTAAATTGTCATTGAAGGAAAACTATGCCCTAATTTGTTTGATATCCACAGGTAGTATCTAACAAGTAGTAATTCTTCAATGCCACGTATTATGTTGGTGTTGGCCATAATAATTGGCCAACTGCTAAAGGAAAAATCTCACATGCACATGCAGGTTATATTTAATATTTTACCTCAGGAGAGTAATCCTATGTTAACTATTGGACAACACATGTTCTTCTTGGATTAACTGGCAGAGCTCAAGAATGATACAGCTAAGGGTTTTCTATTTAAAAGAATAGTCAGTTTTCCTACATTATGTCTTTGTAGAAATAGAAACTTCCTATTTTTAGATTACTAAGTATTTTGAATGTCTTGCTAGGAAACAGTTTATAATACATGTTCTTTCTAATTCTTTGATTGTTTTCTCCTAGAAGCTGATGGACAGGTTTGATTTTGGGGAAGAGCCTGAATTAAGTGAAGAGCCTAAAAAAGAAACTCCCAATTCCCAACTGTAAGATCAGGTTACATTCATTTTTAATTAGATTTTTTTATTTTTCCTATTAAACATTGCCATAATTGAATATTGAATGTGAAAAATAGACCAGTTAGTGGTCCTTCAGTATATGTCAACTACTGTACTGGAGCAGTGGTAACAGAAAACAATTTACATACATTTTAATAGAACATTTATATGTTTTAAATGTTTCATCTAGCATTTCTGCCATTGTGTGAGCACCCTTCAGCTGCCTGCCTACCATTTTAAAACAGATTGAGAGTTTGGTTTGAGAATAGTGCTTTACATAGAGTTACAATCTTATATTTCATTTGGAGGGATAATAATTAGAGCTAAGGGATGTAAAAGGTTAACTAATTACTCTGTAAGCCTTAGGCTTGCCAGTATGCTTACCTGGAAGAAGTAGGCCTCCCCTGTGATGCTGAGGGTAGGGATGTTAAGTCATGGTTAATTAGCTAATTGAATAATTGATGTAAATTCCATCAACTACTCGATTAGTCAATAAGGTGGCTCTGCATTTTAAATATGGCTCTGGGACTGCTGCAGCTCTGCCTCCCCTGCACTCCTCCCGCACTGCAGAGATGGTGTGGGGTGAACTAGCTTTTAAGTGTGCTCCTCCCAGCAACAGCTCCCTCCTCTTCCTCCCACTGCCTCTGATAGAGGCTGCGGGGGAGTGAGTAGTCGAATAGTCATTCAGCTACCTGATAAGCATATGCTTTTCAGGTAGTTGACTAGTTGCTTACATCTCTAGCTATGAGACTAGCTAGCAGGATCCCACCCGCAGACTGCCTGGCTGGAGCAGCCCGGTCTGGCTAGAACACCCCCTGCCATGCGTGGCAGGCAGGATCCCTGCACCACAGAGACTGCGGGATTGTAGCCCTTGTGGGACCCAACCCAACTGGTTAACTGTTGTACCCACTCTCCCAGCAGTTAACTGGTTAAGCAATATAATTGTTTAATCATTTAACAGTTTTAATGGCTATTTATGCCCCCTAGTGTGTCTTAAATTGCCTGTGTGTTTGGAAAATGTATGTGTAGCATGCTACTTTTTAAAAATATATTTTGTTTATTAGGTTATTTAGTCTCAAGAAACAAAATTCAATGCTGAGCGTTTTTCAATTATTTTATTCTAGGCCTCTAGTATCAGAGTCTGTGAACAGCTCACTTTTTCATCAACTTGCTGAACAACTGCAACAACAAAATTTAGAACATCTCCGACAGCAACTTCTAGAGCAACAGCAGCCTCAAAAGGTAACTACTCCATCTTATGGTTATTACTGTAATTGATTCTTGTGTTCTTCCACATCGTTAAAAATACAGACTGTGCTTTAGGACAATAAACTGTTTTTTCCCCCTAATATTCTTACTCATAATAATGAAACTCTGTCACTGGCTAATTACATGGATTAGGTTTATAAAGTTATGACTTGGATTAAGTGAAGACAAAAAACAAAACAAAAAATCCAAAACAAATGTGATCTATAACTTTTGTACTTATTAAGTTAGGAGGGACTAGCCTTTAGTTGAACTGCACATATGCTTCACTTCAAGCCATTCTGTTCACTCTTAAACAAGATTTTTGTTTTTTAATTCCTTCTTTCATGGAGGGCTAGAAAGATGGCTTGCAAAAGGAGCAAGAAATAAAGTAGAAATTGGAATCTGGGAACACAGGAGATATTCAAAGGACTGTTGGTTTTAAGGAAAACAAGATAAAACCCCCCACAAAAGTAAAAGATACTGAATTGTGCTACATAAGAACTTTTAAATATACATACATTGAAATATACAGCAGTTTCTCTCTGTACTTTCACTCTCCTTAAAAACTCTATTCCTTACTCTAGTGAAATCAAGTTGGCAGAATGTTGAACAGTACCCAGATTATTTTATATGACCGTCCTGTTTTTCTGAAACTTGTGATTGCCCATTACTTTTCTGTTTCATGTGTTCGCCTGTTATCACAGCATTATTTTCCTTAACTCACCATTCTGTTTTATTTTTTGGATACTTAAGACACCTATATTTTCCTAAAGGATACATCTGGCTAGCAGCTAAGTTCCTGCTAAGCTGAGCAGGCAGGGAGCTCAGCTGACTAGCAGCAGGTAGAGGCGTCTTGCTAAGCAGCAGTGTCATACGGAGCTGTGTGTTTGAATTGAAGGAGAAGGCTGGGGGAGAAGGAGGGGAGAGTAATTGGCTGGGGGGAGGTCAAAGGAGAGGTGAGTTTAGAGAGTCCTGTGTGTGCAGGCAGGGAGAAATTGAGAGGCAGAAAGCTAGCACTCTCCTCAAGCCTCCTGGGCTAGGAAGGGGGAGGTAAAGGATTGACTGCATGAGGTAGGTGGGCATGAAGTAGGTGGGTGAAAAAGCAGGTGAGTGAGTGCTGGCATAGAGGTGAGGTGGAGGCAGGGGGAAGTTTGTTAGTGCTGTGTCCTGGGAGGAGGGGGGGGGGGTGGATAATTTGTTAGTGCTGTCTGTCCTGTCCTGACTCCCAGCTGGACTGCTCGTATCTGCAAGTTTGAGAAGCAGGATTTTATCCCAACCCCCAGCTAGGCTGGGGGAGCAGATTGCACAGGGATAGATGAGGGGAAAGGAGTGGGTGGATTCTGGCATCTTTGCAATGAGGTGGAGACAAGAGCCAGTTTGTTTGGGGTGTCCTGACTCACTTGTGGTAGTCCTCTCTGTCTGTCTGAGTTGGAGGGATGGTGGAGGGGAAAGCAGGCTGCATGGGGTGTGCACGCGCCACAATATTTGCATGATCACGTTTCAAACAAAGTTTACATAGGCGAGGTGTTAATGGCTTAAGGTAGGAAAGAAAAAGATTATTTTAACAGGGGTTGGGTTTTTTTAGCTTCGCAGATATCTAAAACACTGATCTTAATGATTTGTTTAAATCTAGTGTTAATATAATACAGTATACCGTGTATTAGCCAAGATCTGGCCTTACTATGTGGAAGAGTTTTGGCTGTTATGAGTCAGGAGTAGCAAGTATTAGGTGTGATGCTGTTTTGGAGGATGAAACCATATTTGCAAGCTCTGAAACATTCATCTGTCTACAAACCCCGGAGCCTGGTATTAATTTGTTTTGGGGATTTTACTCTTTGAGTTGGTGACACACACAAGGTGAAAGTTTCAAACCAGAAGAACTTTGATCTGTTTTTACAGGTCTCTGTTTCACTTTTCCTTATACAGGCAGTCCCCGACTTACGCGGATCCGACTTATGTCGGATCCGCACTTACGAACGGGGCTTTCTCGCCAGAGCAAAGCCTCAGAAGCGCGGGAACCCGCCGCGGCTGCGGCTTCAGTCGCGGTGCCT